GACGCCGTATCCATGCAGAAGCGACGACCCTCGCACCTCCGAACCCCCTCTACCCCCACCATCGAATCACGCATCGCCAGTGCCCAGCGGCGTCGCGGACACTGCCGCTGCGTGCCAAGACCAACGAAGGCCTGTTGCAGCTGCAAGCAAACACATCAAAGCCCCAGCGCCCCGCAAACACACACCAGCGCAGAATCTCGCTCGGCCTCCCCATCAAGACGCCCAATGCTACAGGCGACAACCCCCGCCATTCCAGCCCCACTACCACCCGCTCCCTCCACCCATCAACACCCAAGCGGCTACCGAAAAAGTCCGGGCCTGCCTCCACGATCCAGCAGGAGCGCGACCTGGAGTACAAGCACCGCCACACATTCATCGGCACCGCATCGCTAGACGACTTCCTAGAGGTGCTCGACGTTTCGCCCGAGCACACGACAAACAAGGACGCCATCGTGCGTGCCTTTATTCTCCTAGCGTCGAGCGAGCGCCTACTAGCCCGACAAGCCTCCCTAAAGCCCGACGGGTGGAGCGTCATTGCACGAACGTCTGCCGAGACGGTAAACACCGACTACGTCGAACAAGCACACGCCAAGCTCGGGTCCATTGTACTGCGCCAGTTCCTGGACCTAATCACCTTCAACGAGGACGAGGAAGCAAACGCCATGAGCGTCGTCGAAGCCTTTACAGCCGCAAGTCATCTGGATGCACAAGCGAGCAAGGCCACAGGAAGTAAGGCCAAAGCCTTTCGGAGTTGGATGGTGAAGGCGCTACCCCAGTAGGGACGCTGATTATTTTCTAGGTTTTCTTTTGAGCACACCTCACTGCCCTTCTCATGATAATGCGACACCATGATGCCGAATGTCTTATGTTATTACTACATGCCATCCCCTTCCTTTCAACGCCCCTGATAGTACCACCTTTTTGCGTTTCGCTTGCACATCCATCCCGCTCAGCCCATAACTTAGTTGCCCTTCACCTCACCTCACCCTTCCCGAGATAGTTTCATTTCCTCGCCTTGTCTGTAAGGTGCGGCTATCGACCAGAATAGATCATTTCGAAGCCGAAGCCCATTCACCGTGTATTCACTCATGTTTTCGTTCCAGTTGTACCATAGCCTCCCACGCACCGTTTGTCTTTTAGCGTTGATCATCTAACGGCCATACCTTCCATGCCTGTCCCTTGTACTCCTGTATCCGTCCTTGTATCCTTTCCAAACGTCCATGGTGGACTGTGAATTGGTCTAACCCCTGGGTATTTTAGTAATAATCGAAAAGTGACTTGAGATGCTAACACCTAGGTGACATGAAATACATGACAGTGTGATAAGCACCTAATACATGTCTGGCGTCCAAGTGACCTTTGTACACTAGCATGTCGTACCCATGCTTATGTGAGTATGTGATAATTTGACGTCACGTGAGAGGGTAACGCCTAACGAAGCGAGTTCGACACTGCCAAACACAACCCACGCTCTCCAACCTCCGCACCGCGGGTACCCCCACGTCCGTGCCGCGAGCCATGTACTTTATTCCGATTCAGCTGCTCGCCTCGACGAGATGCGCCTCTAGAGCAAGCATATCGTTGCTGAAAAGTGCAAATATTGGCTTCGCCGCGGGCTCGCGCATATCCTCACAAACCCGGTTTGCCTCAAAATCATCTCCGCCTAGTAATCCAAAACCCAATCCGCCCTCTCGGAAACTTGTGCCTCCTCCAAGCAAAGCTGGAACGAAGGGTACACCACCGAGTAACCCGTCTAAAATCAAGGTTACGTCTGCAGCCAAGGCCACGTCCACTGCCGAGGCCATTCCCACGGGTGCCAAAGTCGAAAGTAAGAGACTGCCGGACAAGGATCGACCTCGCGAGTTCACTGAGTTGGATCAAAGCATTAATGGTACACGTATCGTGTACGAACGGGCCAAGCTCGTGTGGCCTGGCATCTGGTCGATTGCTACTGTTGTTGCCACCTATGGCGTGTTTGCCTACATGTATATCAACTACGGCGATGCTATATCGTCCGCAGCGCTACAACCCAGTCGCGCAGAGAATTCAGATTCCTGGCTTCTCACTCCCACAGTCATCAGAGACGGCATCAAAATAGCATGGCAAGACCTTGACAAGCTTACAATCGGCATTATCGGCTTCAGCACTGTTATCCATGCGCTGCGACGCTCCGGTCTGTTCTCCCAGGCTAATTTTGTTCACATCGTTGGCCGCTACAGATACACGATTTTTACGCACCCATTCATATACAAGAACTGGGTACATTTGGGAGGGACATCGCTTATACTAGCTTGGTTCCTACCAGGTGTAGTACGACACTTCGATGGCGACGTCTACCACACAGCTGCCTTTCTTGCGAGCGTACCCGTTGTCATTTCATACCTCCACCGCTTTATATTCCGCTTTATCCCTATGCCCTATTTCCCAGTTAACCGGGGTGCAATGTATATCTGCGTAGCAGCATTCGGTGCTTATAGTGTGGCCTATGCGCATGAGAAGATATGGACCCCTGCGGGTGTCGTTGTGCGACTTCCATCGAAGGTTTGGGCTTCAATCGGTATAGTATCATTTCTATTATTTCTTATGATAGCTAGGCGTGCCGATAGAGGTGTGAGAGCGCTTATCCTTGTCTCTGGCCTGGGGCATTTTGGGCTTGGCGCAGCTTACGTTCATTTCGACGGCAAGAACAAGGTCTGGAAACCGTTGGTGGAGGGTTCTCAATACCGGCACTTATTAGTCGGTCGGTAGAGTCTTCCGGATAATCGGCAATGTATATAGTCTCAACACCAGACACGTGCGCCACATTGTGCATCGTCAGTGTGGCGCTGCTCCTATTCGTAGACAGTAATGCACCCCTGTCGTAGCGCCTCGGCTTGCGGCTGGTGCGGCATTCTGATCAAATATGATGCAATGGAGAAGCCAGGTTTCCGGTTTTTAGCGTCGTCAGCTCGTGGCAGCGAAGATAAATAACAGTAAACATCAAACATTGTCCAGCCGAATACAAAGGCGTCGTTTTCCAACGTTTTCAAAGGGGTTTTATGACTACAATAGTCCCATCATATCCGTAACCATGCCATCCAGCACAGTTAGTATGCCAATCTACTGTTAGGGAGCCTTCTAATCGAACATAGAGCGATGTCCTCCTCTACTTCCTCGCTATATGGCTGCCATTTGTATCCGTTGCCATCAAGCGAGGCTGCACCGCCGACCTCTTCATCAACATTGCATTATGCTGTCTCGCCTGGATACCAGGAATCATTCACGCGTGGTACATTATTAGCAAGTCGGAAAAAGCAGAGAGAACCAAGAGTACGGTGGAGTAGCTGTATCTGTAATGTAGAGTCGTGGTCGAATTCAAGCGATTGCACATGGGAAGCATGAGAAGCGTAGCCTAGTGCGTACAAGTTCGACATGCGATGCAACGCGGCCCGCCAAGTCCGTGCGTCTCCGCATGTTGGAGCTAATTAGTAGCTCACGTCATCCAGCGTCCTCCTTTCACTCCTTCATCCCCCACGAACCAAATGACATCTATCAACGGACCATTTATACCTTATTCTGATATTGAAGTTTTGAACAAGATTTTGCAATCCCAAGCCGTGCGCGCATTCAGCTACCGAAGACACCATCCCTGAAGATGAATGTGCCTGCTACCCCGTCACTATCGCAGGGTAAGTCTGCGGCATCATCCGACTACGGCTCAGACGTCTCCTCTGAAGGACTCGAAGAGATTGTACAGTCTCAGATCGTGCAATCAACACCGTGGCCACGCAAGAAATCTCAAGATATGGATAGACCTGCCACACCACCTCCATCACAGTCAAGGGCGCCGATGAAGCCACTGCCCGCATCGCAGCCGGTATGATCAGAAATGTCGTCGCAACCTACGCCTTCAAATTCAACGGTACCGAGATTGGAGATGAAATATAACCAGAAAAGCCACTTCCTTTTAACTAGATCAAATTTGAACTTGCACAAGCGTACAATGTAATAAGGGCCGACTTAAAAGCCTGTCTCAAGCGGACATGATCCTCTTCTCGATAAGGGAAGATTGGGGCGCCTGAACAAGAACCTTACAAATCATCGCATCGCTCCCAATGATGGACAGGCTGCGCGGATAGGAGCATTAATGGAATATCAAAAGCTAAGAGCAGAATGATTGTGAACAGCTAGAGGGGTTTCTGGGATACGATGTCGAGCGATAACATAAGCCGCCGTAGCTAGTGAACCAAACACGTACTTTACTTTGATACTAGTTTCTCAACGCATGACATTCCGATAATTCGCATTCATGCAGACGGTGAAGTTGCGGCTCATGTGAGCGGAAAAAGATGGCTATTACCGCTGCAATGAGCAGCCAGTCTGGGGCAAAATGTCGAATTCTCCACAGTCATACCCCGGCAAAGGCACGCTCGACACGGGACGGATGGCCTAAGCGTTATGCGACATGGGATGCGGCTCAATCTGACAAGACACTTGTTGGGATTCTGCATTACCGTACAGCGCGGCTTCTGTTCATACGCCGACAAGATCCGAGCCGGCTTTAGAAGTAGGTTAGATAGCATCGCATTTCATATCGGTAACCGTCGCCGAGTTCCCGAGCCAAGTGCTGGTCAAGGATCTGATGCCCAATGAAGCCTCCAGCTAATGTGGGGAGGAGCTTATCTAGTAGCTGATCTCCACTCGCGTATGCGCTTAGTTACTACGCCGCCACGAGGAAAATTGAGATGGCTGGGATGCCATGATGTAACGGTGTTGGTCGAGCCAAGACAGTGGGGTATGGTGGTATAATCTGGAGGCCCGCACCGGAGTGGATCAGTTGGAGGCATCTCCGGCTGCAATATATAGAGGGGCCCCATACGTTTGATGGATTGTTGTTCTCCGTCCGTCGCGTGCAAGAATTTTAAGATGGCGACCCAGTACGAGCAGGAGAAGATTTCCACCCACGATGCGGCTCATGTCGAAGAGCACCACAGGAAGGCTGGTGGACTGGCCGCCAACATGAGCCCCGAACGACGACAGCAGGTTGAGAAGACGCTGAAACGCAAGCTGGACATACGATGTTCGCTGTTTGTTTTGATCTATATCATGAATTGTACGGTCCCAACTTCGTCACGTGAGCTTTTCTGACTTTCCAGATCTCGACAGGAACAACATCGCAGCAGCGCGTCTGGGTGGGTTCGAAGAAGATCTCGGTCTTACCGCTACCCAATACTCGACATGCCTAAGTATTCTCTATGTTGGGTATATTTTGATGCAGGTCCCGTCAAATATGATCATCAACCGGATACCACGCCCGTCGTTATACATTGGCGTTGTAATGCTTGTAAGTTGGAGCGTTCTGAGCGTTGTTGGATACATGGGCTTCTGGGTAGACGAGGTGTCATGGGTTCCCACGATAGTTGGATACATGAACTTTTGAGCTACACAAGTGCCATTGATATCAGCGGTAGTTGGATACATGCTGACGTTATCCTAGATCTGGGGCATGATTAGTACCCTGAGTGGTAATGTCAACAGCTTTTCCGGCATGGTGGCCATTCGTTTCATGATTGGCTTTGTCGAGGCAGCTTTTTTGGTAAATACCCTACCCCTATATAAGTATTGCTGGTTCTAACTATAATAGCCTGGAGCCCTTCTGATTTTATCCAAATGGTATACGAGACGCGAGCTCACACTTCGAAACGCCATCCTTTTCTGTGGAAACCTCATCTCAAACGCCTTCAGTTCACTCGTTGGAGCAGCCGTTCTAGGCAACATGGAGGGAACTCTAGGGCACAGAGCATGGCGTTGGCTCTTCTGGATCGAGGGGGCAGTTACAATGGCTATTGCTATTGCAGCTGTATTCGTTCTTCCGGATCTTCCTCATAATTCGCGTGGTTTCACCGAAGAAGAGCGGGCGGTGGCGGTTCTACGAATGACCGAGGACGTGGGAGAAGCCGACGAGGACTCGTCTGAGCAGTCCGCCTTTGCTGGATTCTTCATGGCTGTCAAGGATCTCAAGATTTACGTTATGATGTTGACGTTTACGGCATATGTTATCGGACTGTCGTTCAACGCTTTTTTCCCGACCCTCACCAAAACTCTCGGATTCGGATACATCACCACGCTCCTCATGAGTGCGCCGCCGTGGGCCTTTGCTTGCATTGTCAGTCTTATTAATGCCTGGCACGCTGATCGCCAACAAGAGCGCTTCTGGCACATTGTCGGGCCCATTATGGTTGGCATCGTGGGATTCGCAATTTCAATGGCGACATCACACACAGCAGCACGCTACGTTGCTCTCTTCCTACAGGCTTCATCTTACGCTGGCTTTATCGTATTCTACTCCTGGATTTCATCCTCCTTCCCTCGTCCCCCGGCCAAGCGCGCAGTGGCCATTGCCATGATCAACGCCTTCAGTCAACTCGGCAACATTGCTGGATCGTATGTGTGGAACATGAAGGACAACGGGTACCGAAACAGCTACGGCGTTGTCACGGCCATGTTTGGCGTTACAATCATGGGGTGCTTCGTCTTCAGAGTCATCTTGGTGCGCTTGAACAAGCGACTAGACGACGGTGTAGATGCCTGGGTTGTACATGGAGATGTTGCAGAGCAAACCGCAGCAACGGAGGGCGTAAGTGTCGAGGAGGGCAAGAAGATGATGGGAGACTTTAGGTATCTCATCTAGTCATGATACGGTATGGGATGCTGAACACTGTAACTTACGATATCGACTTCGCTTTCTATGTTAATGCCCAAAAACACTGTGCTATTAAACCCTACGCGTCAATATCACTTTATGATGACATAATCAACAATGCTGCGTGAATGCATATTTCAGAGGGCTGTGCACGGACGTGAAGCGCAATGACGCAGGCCAAAACAAAGTTGCACACCTAGCACCTGTCATCACTCAAACACCACCTCATCCCACATCGTGTCATTCCTTACCGCTCACATTCGAACACCGCAAATGCCACCCGTTGCAGTCATCGAGCGCGAGGCGCCAGAGGTAGTACCTCACGCGCCCAAGCCAGTGCGATCGCGCCTCCCAGCAGCCCTGCGCGTGCCAATTCTCATTACACTGAACCTGGGCATCAACGCGCTGCTATGGGAGTTTACATCGAATTTCCTGGCCTCGGAGCTCGGGGCTATTAGCAGGGTCCCGACTGAGAACGACATCACGTCGTTTTACTCTCCTGCGGCGCGAATTGCCATGCGCTGCTTGACTGTCGGACTGGCCTGGTTCTTCAACTACGACTGTAAGGTAATCGCACTGCATATAGAATTAGCTAACAACCGCAGTCATTGATGTCATGGCTCTGGTCGTCCTCACGTACGCGCCCTACACGTACTTGATCAATACCTTTTACGAGATCACGACCGTGACAAGTGTCGTCGACCTCTTCATCGAAATCGCGTCCTATGCCGTGCCCACGTACCTCTTGCGCCCGCGCTCAATCGTCCACAAGAGCAACGCGCCCCTACGCAACCGCTTTCTGCTTAACAGCATTCAGGTGCAGCTGTCGAGCGTACTGTTGGCTGCCGGCGTATACGTCGTTGTACTGTGGAGCGGACTGAAGACTGGTTACCTCAACCTCTTTCTGGTTCAATTCTTCGACATTTCCACTCTTGAGGACGCGCATCTCGAAACCCCCGTCTCGCTAGCCTGCAAGACGCTCATCGTTGGCACCGCTGCCAAAGCCTTCCTGCTCGACCCTTCGTTTGCCGCCCAGCCGCTTCCCGGTGCCGAGACGCCGGTTGAGGAGTTTGATCCTTCGACTGCAACGCTCACCCAGACGTTTGAGCACAACTTCTTCAACTTCAGCAAGAGGACGCGCACACTCATTCAGCAGACAATCATCTTGAACACGTTCCTATTCATCGGAAACGTGCAAAAGTGCATGACACTGAAGGGCACCGAGTTTGTCGGCGCACTGGGATATGTAGGTGTGTGGGTGGTAGCAAACACTGTGATTTCGCTGTGGTTTGGATGGATTGGCGACACGAGCGCAGACTACGAGCCGTTGTAGGGGAAGAGTTAGCCGAAGCATGGAAGGCATTCTTGGAGACGTTTGGCCACGCATGCGTGGTGGATGGGACTTGCGCGGAGGATAATAAGTCATGTTTGATACCAGTTATTTCAATTTTTGCCCTCACTCCACATAGAATACCTCCTCGGTCTGTCCCCACCACCCTGGTCCTGTCGCACTCCCCTTTGCCCCCTCCACCGGGCTCTCCTGCATACCATCCGTCATGGTCCACCACTCCTGCACCTTCTTATTCGCAGCCATGCGCGCCATGTCCTCGTCAAAGGCGTTCCCCACGTACTTGAAGCTCGCGAATAGCGTTGGTCGGGGTGTCATGGACAGGTATATGGAGTCTGGGGAGTTAGCAGAGTAGGGTATACAAGAACAGGACATACAATCCTTGATGTTGGAATCTTTGATTTGTTCAAGGACCTCGGGCCACACTGCTGCATGGCATTTCTTGTAGTCTTCGATACATTCAGGCTTCAGGTACAGCCATTGTCCGACTCGGCGAGGGCCTTGGTTTGGGGATGCCATTGTAATTGTGTTGTAAGCTGGTGTTTTGTTACGGGTGTATGGCGGGGCTTGTATAGCTATGGAGGGGTCATAGTTCGGAGGATAATGTGCCGAGCTTTGGCATTAATTAACGTCTCATGCACATGACTGCCATTCGTATCCTATTGTTCCCCAATCGAGTAATACGACAACCGTTGATTGCTGTTCATATTTACAGCTCTGTAAACTTCTCAGGACGTAAACTCACTTCGCCAGTCCGGCAGCATAAGGTTGAAGAGGAGATATTGCATTGATATCAGTACAGTCATTCATCATCCATATGTTACCCGGTATCTACCAGCCAGTCATATACACCCTGCTTTTCCTGTCCGTCCGGTCGATCTATCCTGTAGCGACCGGTACGTAACCGTCCGCGTGCCCGAACCAAAACTCCAATAATGCAACCACGCCAAAGATCATGCAGAAGCGCAACGGCTTCAGAAGGCGATAAAATGGGACTACACTAGCATCCAAACTAGTGTGTCCTCTTCCTGGGGTTTGTCTGCGTCTTCTTCTTCGAGGAAGGCGTCTTCTGCGTCTCTCCCTCAATGTACTTGAGAAGGTCCTCAATCTTGCGCTGGTCAACTGCGCCCCGTTGGCTACTAGAGGCGGCGGTACTGCTCGTGGCAGGGAGTTGCATGCGAACGCGTCCCTTGGCATTTGAAGGGAGTTGTGCAGCCTTGAGTTGGTTCACAGCACTGTGGATGAGCTGCTCGAGCCAGCCCTCAGCTTCCTTCGTGGTGCTGTGGTCTGGTCCAAGCACCTCCTTGAAGACATTGTACGACTCGCGCATGCGGTTGACACCACCACGCATGTCCTTGTCGAAAGCGACGGCCTGGGCAGTCTGGAAGAGCATGTTGGCTGTGCTGATTGATTTCCGGTCAAAAAGCTCTTCATGGATGGCAAGGGCCGCTTCAAACCACAGACGGGATTCGTGGTATTGAGGTAGTGACTGCAACATGACGGCGGCATTGCTGATTGTTGTGACACAGTCGGGGTGGCCGGGGCCGTAGATGATCTTCCAAAGCTCAAGCGCATGACGCAGGTAGGTGAGAGCAGCCTTGGTGTTACCCGAGGCATGCTCGAATAGTCCAAGGTTGAGGTAGGCAAGCACCGTGTCGGCATGGTCAACACCAAGCGTGCGCTCGGAGACAATGACAGCCTTGTGGGCCAATTCAAGCGCCGAGACCTTGTCGTCCAGGTTGAAGAGTAGGTTCGACAGGGTGTGGTAAGCCTTGGCTACCTCGGGGTGGAGCACGCCGTAGATTTGCTCGTGTAGCTGCAGAGACTCAAGGAGGAGTTCCTGACCAAGTTCCTTTTGGTCCTGGGCCAGGGACATGCGGCCAGCCTCGAGTGCCTCTTCAGCCAACAAGCTCTTGGGCGAAGCCTCCTTGATGATAGGGACAATGTTTAGGATGTCGTCGGCGTGGAACGTCTGAGGAGCAAGGGTGACGGTTGGGCTAGCAGCGCGAACTGGCGGCGTCGTCTTGTTCTTCTTCTTCTTGCTCGAAGTGCTGTGGCCGTTGGTCTGGGGAGCGGCAGGCTTCTCGGCGGGAGTACTGCTGGCCAAGGCCTCCTTGGTAAAGGCGTATTGCTTGCTCTCCAATTGCAGACCCAGCTTGAGGGAGACCTCACGAAGCATCTGGAGCTCCTTGCCAGGTTCAATCCACGACTCGCCCAAGTCGAACCTAAATCGTAGGGCGACCTGGTCGACAACCTCCTTCGTCAACAACTCAGGGGTGAGCTTCTCGAAGCTAAAGTCGTCATCGGGATACATTGCCTTGAGGCTGTTGTCGCACTCAGCAACAGGCTTGGCGCTCACTTCAGCACCGAGCAGGCAGTTGAGGAGGTGTGCGGCAGCTGGCGCGGCGAATGGTGCAGACACGTTGCGAAGCTTCGAGTTGGCAAAGTGCTTGAAGCCACGTGCAATCATCTCCTGGACTACCAGACGCTTAAGAGCCTGAAGCCTTGGTTCGGGCTTGTCGGCAAGTTCAGCAAGCTTTCCAAGGTAGCGGATATTTACACCGCGCTTGTGCAACAGGCTGCTCAGGGACTGACCGTCCATGGGGAAGCCAACATCGCCCTCCTTGATCTCCTGCATCAAGCGGGGAATGACCTCGGCCGTAAGGTGCTCACAGGCAGCGCGAACCTCTGCCTCATCCTGAGCCCACTCCTTCTTGTCCTCGTCTGATTGCGGGTTCTGGCCAGAGAACACATCAGGGTTGAGTGCAAACGAGAAGCCCGAGATGTCGACACGTTCCTGCTCAGGGTCCTCCTCAGCCTTCTTGGCAATCTTTGCAGCCTTTTTCTCTGCACTGGTAAGCTTCTTGGCCTTGGGCTTCTCTTCAGACTCTTCTTCGTCCTCGGAGGACTCATCAGATTCTTCGGAGCTCTCCTCCTTCTCCTTGGCGTCTTTGGCCTCCTTAGCCTCCTTCTTCTTGGCGAGTTCGTTCTTGACGTACTCTCGCAGCTTGATCCTGTAGTAGGACTCTACGAGCTCTGGACGGAGAGTCGCCATGCGGTGGGGGTAGTCCTTGTCCTTTGGCTTTGATTCGCCGTCCTCGGTGGGCTCGGTCCAGTGTGCCTCTATCCACGAGATATCAAGGGGAGTCAGGCGGTAGAGGTCCAGAGCATACCGCCTACCGTCTGTGCCAATCAAGCCCTTGGTCTCGACACTTCCCTCCAGCTCGTGGCGGACGTTGTCCTTGTCCCAGACAGGATGCTTCTTCACGCGTAGTGCCTTGGAGAGTTGCTCAAACAGCGGGACGAATGACTTGTCGTCGGCCACAATCTCCTTGCCCTCCACCGCACCGTAGTCAATCTGGTGCTCTCCAGGGTCGCGCTGCTTGAAGATACCAGGTACTATACTCTGGCCAACAATACGCTTTCCCTGGTAGTCTACAACAACGGTTCCAGAAGTAAAGAGGTTCTGGATGTCGAGGTTGTTGACGGCGCGCACACCAAAGACGTCCTTGCCCACAGCCACACGCGCAGCCTCGTCGCCACCCTCTGCGCCGAATGTACCGACACCGTCAGCACCAAACGAGTAGAAGATGTTGTTGTAAACGAAAATCTGCGCATCCTTGGCCTCTGTAGGATTCAGAGGCGCAATCTCGCCACGGGCAACCAACATGGCGCCGCGAGTTGCTGCGTCATTGTAGTCGGCAAACAGCTTCGACGTGAGGCGTTCGCGGAATACACGGTCGTGGACAGCCTCCTTTGGCATCTCCCGGGTCGACTGGAACTCCTCATTCCAGTCACGCAGAGTTTCGGTGTTTTCAACGCCCGATATCAGGTAGCTCTCCTGCGTCCGCGCGAGATCAGGCTGGTGTGGGGTTAGGGCTGAAGTGGGTGCGGGAACCAACCAGGGGTTCGCGGGGATGGCGTTTGAGAGCTGGAAAATGGTAAGCAGCTCCTTCTTCGCATTGTGCTCCAGCAATTCCTGGAAGGTAGTGCGGAAAGACGGCGACAGCTCCTCGAGAAGAGTCAGGAGCGAGTGCGCGTGCTTCGCCTTGGGGGCCTGTCGTGGCGAAGGGTCGAAGCTGGCATTTGACGACTTGTTGACGTAGAAACCGGAGACGTGCGCGGTGATGTGATGTTGCTCGTTCTCGTTGGTGGTGACTACCAGATACAAGAGGTGGCCCTTGGAGCGGAGGTGGTATGGAGGGGGATTCCATGGCGAAACAGCAATGGATTTGATCGTCTTGGGCGCAGTCTCTGGAGCAGGAGGCAGCAAAGTCTTTACCGATGCTGCCTTGAAGTCGTAGTCAGTCACCGGCGTCTGCTCGGGACCGTCCTGCTTCGGCTTCAATATTTGCTCGTGTCCCACAGTGTCGTGCAGTGACAGGCCAGCCATTATACCGTGCAGCGCATCGGTACGATCACCAGCAGCGCCGATGAGCTCCCGCACGCGAATGACATGTAGTCTCGCCTCCTTCTCCGTGTATGGGTCCTCCACCAGAGTCAATACCGAGTCGGCCTTGAGTCCCTGGACTTCGGAAAGTTCGACATAGTCGTTGATCCGCTTCCCCTCATGCTCCAGGTGGAAACACGAGTACTGGAATGTGTGCGGCATCTCGATGATGGACTGGCGGAGGTCTTGCACCTGCTCGGCCGATGAAATCTACCAACATGAGTAACTGCCATGTATTTTGCATCGCTACACGCACCGTCATTGGCATCTCGAATGGCTCATGTGGAAGCTTAATGGTGACTTGGAAGATGTCTAGACATGATCAGTTGATTGCTTACTGCACCACTCAATTGACATACTGTCTGGCTGGACAGCACCCTCCTCGCCGTCTGCGCCATCTGCGCCTTCTGTCTGCCCATTTACATTTTGCTCTATAGGGGTCTTTTCGACTTCTGCAGTCGTGTTAGTCATGGCGTGCAAGCTACGTCGAGGAACAAATTTCTTGTCGTGTGGGAAGCTCACCAGACTTGGAAGCGTCATTGGTAGTGGCCATGCTTGCGGCGGATCGAGATCAACACCAAGACCCCGGGAAAGAGCGACAGAAAGAAGAGATTGGTCTAGAAAAGGACGGGAATATACAAGACAGGCGCATCAATGTACAGTGACATGCGTTGAGGTGTGCGAGAGTGAGGGAACTTCTTCGGTCATGTCTCCAGAATATTTTTCTTGAGGGCGCCGGAATGGTCCGCTAAGCTACACTCCACTTCCGAAGGCGCAAGGATGACATCGGAAAGACGGCCCCCATCGTCAGCGCACGGCATTGTCCAAAAGCCATCTCTTGCTGACCCTGCTCTTCGCCTTGTACGAGTGAGACTGCCGGTATCGTGATATCGCCTGTGGAACCCTCACGATGCTGTTGCAGCTCCTACCACTCTCTTGGCGCTCGCATGGCCCCTGCGGCTAATCATCTCGACACCAGCGTAGCACGCCGCAGTACCTCCTTTGCGCGTTGCCCCTCTCTGTCGTCTCACTTCTATCACTCTCATTCACGCGGCTGTCAATCATTGTAGTTTTATCTTGAGATTTTCTTTTCCAGAGTGCGATCGACACGTGTTCAAGCACGCGACACCGGACGCAACGTGCCAACGCCAATAATGTTAATGCTGCGACCGTTTCTGAGGGCTAGAACACCGCGACGTGTCGGATTCCCTCGGCAATCTCCCGTATACCGGTCCCAGCGGGCTGGCCCGGTAATTCCAAGGACATGGTCACGCACATTGACTGGTCAATCTGGGCCTCCTTCCCCAGGAAATGATGCGCCCAACCCGGTTGATGATGCTACGGAACGTTTGGAGGGAGACGAGGCGGAGGAGAAGCGTGAGAAGAACCAGGCTGAATGGCGAAGCACGGGGTGGAAAATGTTCGAGGCGGCCATGACTACGGGAGCGAGCATTTTCATTCTTGGCTGTGTTGGTATTGGATACACCAAGTACTACAAGTGGAATGTACTTGAGAAGATGGAGAATGCATTCCGCCCAGGCGACCCTGTTCTCGATCTTGCAGCTAATGGGGAAAGAGATTCCGAAGAATGGGGAGCCTTCTCGGTTGGAGGTTGTGAAGAGCGATGCAAACGACGACCAGGACTATGACCGGTGGATTCCACGTGACGAGCAAGAGAAGATTGACAAGATTGTGTGGGGCGAGACCAAGGGCCGCTACCACTTGCTCATTGGCGAAAAGGGGACGGGGAAGACGTCGATGTTGATAGATGCCATGGATAAGATCAATGGCGAGGGATGCTCAATGATGGAAGCCCATGCTGATCTTGAGGTCTTCCGTGTCCGACTGGGTCGCTGTCTTGACTTTGAGTACCACGAGGATAACATTGGGTCGCTCTTTTCCATTCGCGGGCCTCGCGACGCAGGCGCCATCCTTGACATTGAGCGAGCCTTTAATAAGCTGGAAAAGGTGGCCCTGAGACGGCGTGCAAGAGTTGGACGTCCGCTCATCCTCATCATCAACTCGGCACATCTAATCCGTGACGACGATGATGGCAGGGATCTTCTCGAGCTCATCCAGCAACGGGCAGAGCAGTGGGCAGCGTCGAACCTCGCCACCGTCATCATCAACTCGGACAAGTACTGGGTTTTTGAAAGACTGAAGCAGTATGCCACGCGCATGGAGGTACATCAGATCAAGGATCTCACCAAAGACCGTGCGATGCAAGCTCTACGCAACTACAGAATGAAGTACTACGGGGAAAAGGTGAAGGAGTCGATTCTTGAAGAGGTCTACGACAAGATTGGCGGCCGTCTAACCTTTCTCAATCGCGTTGCCAAGTCGGAAGACATGATTGCAAAGTGCAACAACATTTGCGAGATGGAGAAGATTTGGTTCCTGAATAACTGCGCTATACTGGGCGAGGAAATGGACGACGACGTCATGGACCAGCAGAAGTATGCGGTTAGTATGTTTACCATGTGTGATTTCAACGCTGATTTAATTAGTCAACTGCCATGGTCCTCGCCAACGCCCTCTACAAACGCTACGCCGAATTGGAATCCAAATACGACCCCAACCAAGGCCATATTCTCCCCTCCATACCCCTTCACCGTGCCAGATGGATCATGACACGCTCCGACTTTATCAGGCAACATCACGACCTATCCATCTTCTCCATTGATTCACACGCCGTGGTCCGCGCCGACTCGGTACCCATGCAGCGTGCCTTTAACGAGATCTGCTCCGAGCCTGGGTTTGAAGATTTCCTAGAAGCAACCCTCGAGCGTATTGGAGCGATTGAATCACTTGGCCGTACAAAGGAGCTTACGTTCAAGGATCTGTGGGACGGCGGCAAGTACAGGATTACTACAAAGAATAAAAAAGGCGAGGTGCAGGGTGAGGTGGAGATGGAGACTGTGGCTGGAAAGAAGGACGACTAGGGAAAAGACTAGGCGCAGATATGCAAGTGTCAGCCTGTGTATGATATGAGTTAGGCGGTTCTTTGACTTGCGCGACGCCTGATACCCCCCCTATACTTTCCTATGTACTATCAGTAGCTCTAGTGGTGTGATTGTTTACAAAACTATTTCATGCCCAGAGATGCGAGTTTGACTTGGCAAACTACCTGTGCGTAGTATGTGATAACACACGTCTTATCTTGGTGTAAACCTTACTTGGTCATCAGATAACGCAGTCGTCTTTTGGCGTAAACCTTAGTTGGTCACCAGACAATGCAATCTTGTCTTTTTATGTAAACCTTACTTCGTCACCAGATAACGCATTCTTTACACATTTCATTCCGACGGCCGTAATCCGCCAACCCTCATTTAACTAAGATATGATTACATGTCTCCAAATCACTCCAACTTGGGGTACACCCTTTTATTCTAATCTCCCACGCATTGACATGTTCTTGGTACAATGTGAACGATTACCACCATGCATAGATCTACAATGTCTTCGTATCTCACCAAATGTTATCTACGCTACATGGGGTATGCAATGACGAATACGACAGTCATCGATGTACGAGCGACTACGATATCCCCAGATTATAGTTTCGGGTGGATCGGCGATGCTGGAGCAAAGATCAGATACTGCGGGGTTAATGTTACCCAGAGCAGAAGGTGTAGCGCAGCGGGTTGCCATGCAAGCTTTTAGTGCTGACCATCTGGCTGGGGGCGGGGGGTTTGGTGCAAAGTTTGGCGAGAATCGTGCATACACTCGGGATTTACTTTGTGTGACGATCAGTGCAATCTTCAAATATTTGAGTTGTAAAGGAAAGTTCCTACAATGGACCGACACGTCATTCTTGATTGGCACACAACGAATACGAAACGACTGTAAGTATAATCGAAGTTGGGTAGATGGCAAGTGAGATAGGAGTTCCGATTATGCAGATTATATTATCTTGATAACACGCGTGCATGCAGCCGCTTCATAAACCCGACACTTGGTACCTTGTTAGCTTACAAGTAAGAAAGTGCTTCATCTTACCCGCCCGTCACGTGTCGCTGCCACATCCCACATTCCATCCACCAACATGAGGCTGGCTAGATGTCGCCGCCCTAATTCTGGCCAGGTCGTAACCTCACCCGTAAGCCTGGTCATCGGGATGCCGTCGCACCACAATAATGCCCTCACCCGAAGTTGCTTACAAGTACGTTACTCAACTCACTCATTCGATATCACAAACACGCGCGGCAGGAACACATGTTCAACCATGTGGGCGTGGCGGACTTCCGGGCTGACTGTACTGCGACCTTGCAGCGTCCGGGAATCAAATAACCACAGATATATCAATGCTGAGGTCAGTTTCCAGGCTGCAACCACGGTGACGGCTACATGTCATCATAGATTGATGGTGTGACGAGTAGGCAGGCCTCGCTAGGCGGTGATGTAAAGCATACGCCGAGTATTGGTGTCGCGCAGTAGTGCCGTATTCGGAATTGTCTCGTCTTCAACCAGATCTTGGGGACACAAGATAAGCACGCGGATGGGGGTAGGCGGGTAGGTGCAAATAAATGGGGTAACTGTGACGAGGCGCAGTAGTAAGCTGCAACATGCGCAATTGGCTGACGTTGGAGCCAAAGTGAGTAGTTAGTAGATGCCGATGCCAGCACATTCGAGGATGAGTTGACAGATGCAGTAGTGGCGTTTAGATACGTCCGAAACACCAGTTTGGCGTTAGTTTGCATTGTTCACGGAGAATAGTATCGATAGCAGCGGTCGATAGCGGTAGTGTTCCGAAAGCATATGCATGCATATGTGTCCCTGTTAGCGTTGAGCACCATACTCTTCTGATAAGTAGTACGACAAAACCTTAATCTCCCGATAGGCGTTGGTAAACGTGTTTGAGTTCACCCCGGCGTCTGGCAGCGTCGAGAATGGCGTGTTCACGGCGGCCAATAAAAGAACTGGTGTTCGCGTTGCGATTGGAGTGAGGTCGAGGTTGGGAAGCTGACTGCGTACGGCAGGGAATGGTGCAAAAACATGCGGGATCGGCAACGGAGAATTGTGGTGCGACAGACGATCGAGTCGTGACAATGTCGCGGGACTGGGACGCGGAATGCTTCATTTGGCGGAATGATCCGGCTCGTGTAGCTCAAATGATGATATCGGCGGCTGGATTGGGCGCCAATGCAAGAAGATCACCAGGGCCAGGTACCGAGAGCGAAGTTGATGCTGATCGCCTTGTACTCGGCGCCGGGGAGAGTCAACGGTGGTCCGAGATGAAAGCGGAACCGCTCGTCGACTTGGTCGCATGACAAAGGGCGTTGTCTCGACGGACTTTTGAGAAGGGTTACTGTAAGGACCGAATAGGCGAGGGTGAAACGTTGCGAAATGCAACACTCACAAGCCAGTTTTCCCGAAGCAGACGGCTCCACCGGCTAATAGCTGTCGTACCGGTTGGCCCAGCGTGGAGTGTATTCTCCTTTGCAGAGGCGCAGAGGCCGTGGCGTGGACGTGTTCAGGTGGCACGGAGACGGTGCCGCTGGTACATGGGGCCCTTCCAGTGAGCAGGCCAAGATCCACCAGACTGAGAATATCCACGTGTTGGCAGGGTTATCTTTCGCAGCTGGTGATCCTTTCGAGAAGACGAACCCCTGCTTCGCTTCCACGGGAATGGACAGCCGCTGCACATTGCAGTAGCGCGGCTCAAAGGGGAAATGCTCAAGGCCGTTCGAGCTCCACTTTCCCAGCTCCCCGCAAGCTGTAGCTCACCATCACAATTTCGACAAAGTTTTCTGTGGAGAAAGCCGTCAAGCAGCTGTCAGGTTTGAGCTTTGGGCAGGCGGCTGGCAGACCGGTGAAAATCAGAAGGCGTTCGGACCCTGCAATGTAACAAGGCGGCGCTCAGATGGGACGTCCTGACTTGCGCCAATAACGTGCGTGCAGTTACATGGTGAGGTAGAAAGTGTAGACGAGCATGGACTGGCGATCGCGCCCGATACTCTGCAAAGCCTGACCGAAGCTGGCGGACTGGCGGACTGGCGGATTGGCGGATTGGCGGAAGCTGGCGAAAGCTTATGGCCAACTCAGCAGCTCAAGGTTTTGCAACTGTAACTTGGTCGAGTTAATTCCATTTGGAAATAACAACCGTCAATGTATGGCAAACACCAAACGCCGTGCAGCCTGAAGACTCAGACTCAGACTCAGACTCAGACTCAGACTGCAGCCAGCAACCAGCAGGCACAGTGCGTCGTGGCGTGCGCAGGCCGTCTCAGGCTGAGTACGGCAGACGGTATGCTGGTGCGGGCCCCTGGTCGATATGACGGCAAGGGATGCTTTTCCAACGAGGCGAATCAGGGCTGCAGCTGGTTGCGAATTATATTATTGGTACTGGCCGGCATGGCGCCGCCATTTGTAGGAGCGTGGTGAAAATAAAGGGCCGGCATCTGGGATGTAGGCGAGTCTTGCTTCTGGGTAATAAGTAAGACGGGCACAAAAGTGACATTCCACACTGCGACTCGTCGACGCCGCCAACTCAAGGGCGAGCGAGAGTGTGCGCCAATGACGCAGCGCCGTATCGAATTGAGAAATAGAAATCAAAATCAAAACCATCAAAATTGCCAGAGCAGGAGCAAGCCATTGTGCGTGAAACCTTGCTCGTCAAGACCCCGGCTGCGCTCGGTGCCTGGGCGCGGAAGCCGTCGTCTGTTCCGCAGCAACTGAGAAAGAGAATGCAACGCGTTTGAAGTCTATCGAGCGGCCAAATGTCCCAGCTGCGATTATCTGCGCCTCTTCTGTGTCACCATGTGTCGCGCGCGCCGGGGGCTGCCCGGGAGTGAGACGACGAGTCGTGGATATGCGATCGCCTTCCAGAGCCTTTCCAGAACAAATAGCCAGGCGAGGCCGGGTCCACTCACCGAGCCGGCCACGCTCTGAACGCTCTGAACGCTCTGAACGCTCTGATTACGGGAGCTCTTGGACGGCAAGACAACGGCAAGACAGTCTCTTGACCTGAGTCTTGACCTGCAGTGCGTCTGATGAGTCAATGACATGACAGCGACGGCTCCTTCCTCACGATGCCCATGGTACGTCAGGGCTAAGCCGTCGACGGAAAGGTATCCCACGTGGCGGGAGACAACACACCCAACCATGGGGGGAAGGCGCTGGTGGCCGCAGGGAAGGCGCGAGGCGTGCAGACGGACAGCAAAAACAAGCCCACACAAAAAGACCAGGGCTAGGAGAAAATGTCATGTCGTCTGCTGTCAATCAACAAGCCACAGCCCACAGTGGCCACGTCCACCACGATCCCGAGCACCAGCGACCCGGTTGAATGGACGCAAAGCAGGGCTGCAGCGCGAGGTGAATCAGGCCCGGCGGGGAAAGAGTCCCGGAGCGTCTGTTCGCAAGTAAAAAGGACAGTTTTTCTGCTCGCGTTGCTTCTGCACAGAGCCAACAAAAGCGGCAGCGAGTCAATGACAACCAGTCAGAGGTGCGCGCGACACGGGAAGAGGGTCGTCGTCGGTTGCGCTGACGCTGGCTCGTCTCAGCTAAGCTTTGCTGCTTTGCCTCAAGCGCGGTGCAAGAGAAGCGGCCAGCAAGAGGGGCGCAGTGTCGACGTGTCTGATGGGCTACGACTACGACAACAACAACCAGCCGTCGACAGCGTCTCGTCGCCCGCGGGACTCACCCCCCAGCGAGCCGTTAGCATGGTCCGACTAGCGCTGCAGGTACGGCCTTCTAGTGCAGCGCAGGGGTCTACCAATGTTGCGGACCTCTGTGCGCAGATCACCCATGCCAACTCACAATTTCTGCGGGCAAGGGAGCTACACTGAAACAAAGCCGAGGGGGCCGTCGCTCCCGGAACGTCATGTGTCCCTGGCTTTTGCTTCCTGAAAAGCACAGTCGCTCATTTCATTTGTCTCGCCGACAGCCAAGGCCACCTTTGGCAAGTCAGTAGAGTCCCCCTTATTCTAGGTTCGAATATAGAAGGCTTGGGGCGCCCTTGATTTAGTATTTCTTGCTTTCATCATCCGCACTCCCTTTGAACAATCCACTCTCATTCCTCTGCTATCCCCAGTCACTGCGCTAGCCTGGTCCGCTGCTCCTTCGACGCTACCTAATAAAGCTCGCCCGTCTTCTCTGTCGTCTCGCCTCGTGTCGCATCGCCCGACCACCACACTCATTCTCGTTGCATTTCACAGGCCCTCGCACAGGCCATTTCAGCTCCACCGGCAAGCTGGCTTCCTCATCCTGTAAGCCCTTCTATATTTACCGCCCCGTGCAACATGCAGCTAACATATAAAAGTCAACCCACAACCCGTCAACATGGCCATACTCGGACAGTCAGAAGCAAGCAACATGGGTCGCGGCGCCTACGACACAACCGGCACCGTCAAGCAGCCAGAGCAACCACGACCTACCAAATAAAATGGTCGACAGCTTCCCAACGGACCTTGTCTTCGCCTTGCCTCGCAATGCCACCATCCGTGGCGAGCCGGTTCCGTTGGGACCAGAGGGATGACTTGTCACGCATCGTAAGCGCAGCCACCGCACCTTGCATCAACCGCATGACTAACAGTATATGCAGCCCTAAACAGCTCTCACCACATCACAATCGATTCATCCCATTGGTTTTACGGCGCATCTATTTCGAGCCGACTTCGGCATCTACGCGTTTTTAATCAGCTCCGACTATTTCGATTCTCAGCGACCTAATACCCACTTTCGGCTTCGTCCCGCGTCACCGAGCGCTCAACCTTGCGTCCCACGTTTAGCGACATTCCCTTACGGCAAAAAAGTACCTTTTTCCTTATTCGGCGTTTTATAGATCAGGTTGGGCTCAGGCATAGATACCAAAAACGGACTTTTTCTTTTTCTTTCGGACAGTATACCAGGGTAGATATCCCGCTCGCCTTCGTTGGCAACATGGGCGCGGACTGTATTGTACTATAGCTCGTTGGGCTGGTCGCATCGCTGGGATGATGGCCATGCCGCGACGATTTTGCGTTCTTTTAGACGGCTCTTTCATGACATGTATGGGCCGCCATTACGTTGGCTTTGAAAATTAGACAGATGGCCTTGGCCGCGGAAACGGTGTCTCGCGACACTTCCGGCTTGCAGCTTAGACTAATCAATATCCACTACTCATCTCAATCCATCCATCGTCATCTGTCTCATCCGCCGTGCTGGAACCGCCTGCCGTCGCACATGTGGCGTTGCGGATCTTGGTCCCAGCGATCGATAGGCCTTGGGTGCTTCCGCACTGGTAGCGATCCGTTTCGGTTGGGAGGCTGTATCGAGCGCCCACCCTTGCCTTGTACCACTGGTGAATGTTTCGCCAGACGCCTGGGTCACATGAACTTGACATGGCTATCAAATGCTTCTAGGTACTGTCGTTGTCATTGCCATTGCCATTATCATTGTCATTGTTACATTGTGTCACGGTGGCCGTGACGAGCTGCCAAGCTTGGCAGAAAGTGGAGACCTGCCAGCTGCACCCCACGAATACGGCGTCCCGAACCTCACCACCACCACCGACGCCTCTTCCTCCATCCCTGACCTGCAAGTCGACGTACAGCTCTCACCATGGCCGCTATCAATTGGCGTACAATCAACATTGACGCTCTGGACCCGGACAGCCCCGCAAACTTTGACCTGAGCTCTCTCGCTCCTGCTGTCACGCCCGTCTCTACAGCCGATGTCCAAAACAGTGCCTCGCAAATACGACAGCTACTACGAGGGGGTGACAATGAGGGAGCTCTCCAGGGGGCCTTAGAGAATCCGCCTTATGGAGCAGACGACAAGGGAAAGGTATGCCACAGGCACCCCACGACCAGGTCAAACCACGGCTGACTGTCCCACTAGGAAACGTACCTCGCAGTCGTAATCGAGATTCTCCAGTCTATACGAGCGTCCGACATGTCACCAATGCTCAGCCGGGTTATACAGTGCTCCTGGTGGAACCGAGGCGTTGGACGTTCTCATGAAGTACATGTACGTTTGAGCTCACCGCCAAACATCACTTCTCGCCAGCTGCGCCTTCCGTACCTTCCACGCGCCACAGTGGCACACAGGCGACGTCGGGCTAATTTCGTATCTGTAGTTACAAGGGCATGGCACAGGCGAGCCCAGCAACCAACACACGCAACATCACACCTCAGGCGACTGGTTTTTCCCAAATCCATACGCGTGGCGGCGCAGAGGGCGGTGGCCAGGCCATGAGCGTCCTGCTCAGCTGGCACGAAAAGGTAGGTTCGTCATGACTGATTCCTTGATTTGCTCACTAACAACCACAGCTTGTGGAGATAGCTGGCCCAGGCTCCATTGTCAGGGTCATGACGGATCGACGGACGGTTTGAGTAGTGGATGAAAGTTGGCTGGCTAATGACTAGCTCCCTTGTCTCGATAGTTCGTCAATACCGACTTATCAGGCCCAACAACAAAAGCACAACGCGAGCAAACGTACTCTGCGGCTCGGGCCTGTTCTTTCTATTTTGCCCTGCATGCTTTGAACCAAGATTTGCACAAAAACAATCAGGCAACTTTGCAAATTTTCTTCGTCGCCATCCATGTCCTTGCACAAGACCGCACTGGCGTCCCTTTTCTACCGGCCTTGCAGAAGAACCCTTCTTCAGCCCTACCAACACAACCATAACCCTCGCACACGTATCCTCATTTCGCGGATACGGGAGCCTATCACGCTAGCTGCAACTCTCATAAAAGCGGCAAGCCACTTGTTGACGCGGCATGGCTTCCCCTAGCGCCCCGGCCAAGTCCACTAGCAGCCACATGCGGAAGGTCGTCCAACTTTGGAACGCTATTCTAGGTTTGGGCGCCGTTGTGAGCTGAAACACCGTCTCGTTCTTGACGTCAAACTTGACAGAATGACATTGAAACAACGGACACGCTGCGATCAAAGTTTATCCCCTTTATCGATTGCACCTGAGCTTATGCACAACATGTCGTTTCGGAGCCCGATCCTGGCAACCCATACACATGTTCTGTTTGATAGACAAACGGGGTTCTGGAAGGACTTCGGCTTTATTAGAGCTTGTAAGTAGAGCTGCGGCATGCCAATACGATGATATTACCATGGGTGCTCCACCTCAGACCAACTCCACTGAAATGTCAAGTTCATGTCATCAGATTCATGTTCCTCGTAGTTTTGAGACACTTGTCGCTTCTGCCATCTTCAGCCTCTTATCGGCATGAAATCGCGGAGTCGGTGTCTCACATGACTATCGGTAATGCGTCTGTCATTGTGAATCCACGTGGGAACATGACATGCATGTCATTGCTTTTTTAGGCACTCGATCCGGTTTCAGGTTCTGTGGTGCGGACGGCGTAGCCCGCAGTGGCAAGAACTGGTACTCGTGTCGGTTTGTTTTTTGTCGGGGGTGTATTGCTACGGCAGAAGCAAGTCAACACCGATACACATGTTGGATGACGTGTCGATCATTTCGACTGAACGGTCAAGAGCTGCTTTTTACAATCGCATTCGCCAAGTGTTGCGATGAGTAGGTTTTCATGTTTGGGGCCCCAGAAGCATGCAGATGCTTCTTCTCGCCACTCCAGGTGTTCGTTTGTGACCATATTTCTTTTTCCATGACTATTCTATGACTAGCACAGACTTCAGCTACATGACTTGGTTCAATTTCTATTGGTTGTTTGGGTCAGACGACATGGGAGGAGACGAGTAAGATACAAGTCTGAGTTGATGAGTCACTAGGGGTGTAGGTTTACTTCTTCCACATGTACGTGAGTGTAATTGCCCATGACGTGCCTTTCCGACTGACTAGCATGTGGCTTGATTATTACAGGAGTATGAGATTGAGACACTTTATTAATCAAGGCGGTTAAAGTGGTAGAATTTCTTCTCATTATTCGTGGCAGTATTAACTCTGTCTCAAACATCCCACAACTTCACGATACACTCTTCCGTATCCATGGATCCATTTACCCACTTTTGCATGGCGCGCACCTACCTCATTTCCGGGATTCTTGTCATCTAGAACATGCCGTTAATGCCTCGAAACAGCGTCGTCGATCCCTCATGGACGACTAGGATAGAGAGCAAGTAAGCCTAGAATAGGTCAACAGGTCCTGTCCTAGTCCATGTATCATCCCTCGTCTCGAGTTCTTTGGATTGAAACAGCGCGTACCTTGTTCGCCAAGGTGTTCAAAGAGTGGTTGGCATTGTTTGGGAGGTTGGCGACAGGCAAGGAAGACCATGTAAAGCCGTCTTAGCAAGTCGTATTGCAAGAGCGTAAAAATAACTCATGAACGTTTTCGGATTTGACTTAAATTACGCAAACGACAAAGCGTATCTCATGCAGCCGTAAGGGTATCAACATTTGTAAACACCGCAACTATGCCACCGTATACCGAAAATCCCTCCATTCTTACACCAACGCCCAAGCCATGTTTGACATTTCGGCCTGTGTATGAACCACGTGTCCGATCGGAGATGAGACGAAAATCATGTCCTTGATAGGACTATGCGACTGCTCGGGATGTGGAGGTGAAGCTTTGGTTGTCAAGGTTGGTTGGTTCGGTGACACTAGCGCTGTCAACGGCCTTTTCCGTACGAGCGTGTTTGGACATCGGGCCGTAAGCGTCGATGTGGGCTAGAGAATGCCAGAGGAGGTACGTGCTGGGGATGTTAGCGAATGGAGTTCAAAGAGGAAGATTACATACCTAACAAAGGTGAAGATCATTCCCGGCCAGAGGAAGACTACGCTGGCAATTGCGCGGCCGTTGCTGCTGTATTTCAACGGACTTCCACCGTAGAGTGCGAGAAGTCTCTGTGCATCCGCAGTGTTTGTCCCTGTTACGTATGCGCTTTGGCTTGCGACGATGTATGTGTATGCCAACGCGCAGGCGAGGGAAAGCATACAGGCGAGAACGGAGCAGACCTTCCAAGCCATCTTGACTCCCTGCGATTCTTTCCGTTCAGGCCAGAAGAGATCGAAGAAGAAGGCGCTTCCAAAGATGGTGGCAACATAGATGCCAACAAAGATGTTGTACGATGCGATACCGATGAAGTTGTTGTTGTGTACGGTAACATTGCTGTTGAGTCTCGAGACGAACTTTTGTTGATCGACGTAGTCTGCAAGTCAGTGAGCTGTTATCAAGGATGCGACTTTACTTACCAGACAGCGCTGCAGTTCCTAGACTCTCACTGACCACACAAAGGATCATGGCGAGTTGGTAGATGATGAATTTTGTGCGGCGGTTGTGATACTCCTTGTTCCACATGTAACCTGACTTGAACTTGCCCCATTGCATTTCCTTGAGATCGAGGCCCCATATTACCGCCATCTTGAGATGAATATGTATGGATAGACGTAGTAGAGAGGGGTTTGTATGTAAGAGTATGGACAATAGTACTGATCAACGGCAAGTGCACTTAAGGCCTGCATTCCAACCACCTACGTGCGGTGCGCCTTCCTCACAACTCCGATGCAAGTCACCCGCCTGGAAACAAGCATCCGCCGTCCTAGCGTCGATCCTACGCCATTGTTGCTTCGTAGAAGCTTATCCCTTCCACTCGCAGCCATAGTCCGAGAACAACAACGCCGTGTGTCTATTAATCAGCATATCGGCTGACTCCGGTGAAAAGACTGTTAAGAACGGCTGGGGTTGATTGGGAGAAAAGGGTACAAGCAGAGGAATGAACGTCATACAACGGCATGCTGGCGGGGACATGATTAGCGAGAAAGCTTGGCACACGGGAGCGACGTTGATGTCATTGCTGGGACATGCAATTACGAGATGATGGGGTTTTGTTGAATTCTCGATAAGATCCACAATTTCTGACGCAGGTGGTAATTATTGGAGTCGTGGAGTGTGAGTGGAGCTAGCATCGACGTAAGGGCGACTAACGTGTGGGTCGATAGACTCGTTATTCTCACTCAGTAGATGATTAATAATATCTTGGCCCGGTATTGAAGAACTGCTAACCCCGCTAATGATGAGTTTGTCATTATGAGTCTCCACCAGGATTAGAGCGTCATTCTAGGGAAATCCTCTACTTAACCTACGCTATGGATTATCCTTAGGAATAGCAGCTTTGGTGGTGTGAAAAGCCCCGGGAAAGAGGCAGTGACAAGAATTTACGTTCCAGATTACAAGCTTCCGGCAGATGTTGGGCGCTTACGCGTATTTTAAGAAGCTACACATCAACTTCATAGAAACATTGAAGCACCATACGTATGTAAAAAGCTTTTGACCGTTACACCTCATGAGTGTATCACTGCGAGGTTGGAAGGAATGATCAAAAATAGTTCTAATCGTAACTATGAGAGTACTCCTGGTTCCCATCTACTGTACTGCATTCGTTTTAATTCTATGTTTTCTCTTATAACAATTTCATTCTGACATCACTCACTAATAAGTGACTGGTTTCGTCGACCCGACAAACAATATAGGTGTTCCCGCCTTTTGGAATTCAAATAGAACATGTTTCTCTCATCTACTACACAACTCTGTCACTGCCTTACGAGGCGCTGGAAAGAAGCACGTAAACAGCCATATATCCTTATGTACTTTTAATTTTTATAGCAGAGAAAGACCACATCAAATCATGGACCTGGCCTAAAACACTCACCATGACCCGTTTCACGTCATTCTGAATTTGAAAATAGGAAGTGTGCTGAGTGAGAGAGTGAGGTAGACGAAGTCATGACCTTTATTTATACTTGATTACTAATGAACCATAGTTTCTAGCGTACCAACAGGCCGCTCCACAATATCAACACATCCATCGACAATGCTCTTCCTTGCATCTTCAGAGCTGACGTTTTGTCCGCCAAGATACAACAACCAAACCAACCTACCTACCCTCTCATCCTTTACCTCGCCCAACCAGGATGATTTACCCATGGTCTCTAGCTTGTCGCCTTTGACAATAGGCTGGTATAAAGCACCCAGGCTGCCGCTCCTGTCACGTGTCAAGATGATAACACTGCCCTTTGGTGCCTTGCCCTTGCCCTGGAATAGGTTCCTGAACTCCTTCATCGCAAGACCAAATGACTCGTCTTGAAACTCGCCCTCTTCAACAGGCTTGGGGAGTGCAATGGACTTGTTCTCGGCTGCCTGTTGTCTGATCAACTCTGCTTGCTTCCTCCGCACCTCATCCGTTCGTGAGGTGATACCCCGCATCCAACCGTCTTGAAGATGCTTAAAGTCTGTACCTCGGCAAGGAACGACACGGAAAGCCATGTCTACACCCGCAGTTCCATCCCTGCTAAGGATCGCCTCCCATATCTTGTTACTCTTCTCTGGATCGAGGAGTGCTTCGCGGAGATCCTTCTTCTCACTCGGAATCAATGCCGATGCGGTAGGATTCACAGTATTGATGAGGTGATTTTGGAGAGTTGACAAGTCGGAGGTCTTGACATAGAGACCCACGACGTAGACTTGTACTCGCAGGAACGAGACCTTTCTAATACCAAGACCAAGCAGTGTGTATTCGGCGTCGCTGGTAATGGCTTCAGGGCCGGTCTTGTCGGTGGGAAGGCGGATGGTACGTGGGAAGTAGGGGACGTAAGAGGTGCCAGTCTCGACGAGTTCAATGGCATCAGGGTCTGACGCTTGTGGGTTCTCAGAATCTTCTGGTGCAGCAATAACCTTGTCGCCAGCAGCAATAACGACCTTCTTTCCCTGGAACGCTTCTGCCGCCTTTCGTGGTGCATCCGTCTTGGTGGACGGTCCCCACACCATATCTACTACTCCCCGGCTCTTATTCTCCTCCTTCTCCTCCTCTACTGGCACATCCCATAACCGGACCAGAAAGATGGGAGCAAGCATGGATAACGCAGCACCCAAAGCCAACCAATTCCTCCTCCTCACATATTCCGCGCGACGAATCGCCTCTGCGCGGTGGATTGAAACAAAGTCTTCATCTGGGCGAAGGCTCTTGGGCCGAGCGCCTCGTTTGACTATGGCCTCAAAGTCAAAGTCTGGTCTTCTAGCCCGGGATCCCTGGCGGATTTGACGTGGCGGGGTATTAAGACAGCGGAATATTGGTCGTCGTGCGGCGAGTCGTATGGAGTTCATGGTGAATGCTGGTTGTAGCGACGCACGTTGCGATGCGGGTGTAATGCGGAAAAGCTTGGACCAGACGATGTCGTCAATCACTAGCGCATGGACCCTCGCGTCGCGTCCATCAGCCCTACGAAAGATATCAGTCCACAACACTCGCAATGCCTATTCGAAGATCACGAAGAGAAGAGCCTGACGAAACCCCGCCTGCGCAACCACGTCGGCGGAGAGAAAGAGATGAATCTCCAGAGGAGGAGGATATGGAGACCCAGGTCGAGCAGGGCAGTGGTAGCGTCCAACAACTGGCCAAGGGACTAGTACGGTATGCGCTATCGTGTGAGCATTCACGGAAGCCTCTCAAGCGGCAGGAGATCAATGAGAAGGGTGAGTATTTTATCCATTTAGTGGTATCTCTAACAATGGCAGTACTCGGATCACATGCCCGTCACTTCAAGGAAGTCTTTACAGAAGCCAACCGTCAACTTATGGATGTGTTTGGCATGCAACTTGTAGAGCTACCGAAACAAGAAAGGGTGACATTACGACAAAAGCGAGGTATGTAATTGATGTTGATCTTGACTTGTCTAACATTCGTAGCGGCCGCCGCGTCAGAGTCTCAAAGCAAATCGACAAGTATCTGGGTGTTGCAAACTATCCTACCAGATCAATACCGGATACCCGAGATTATCGGCCCCTCACGACCACTTGATGACGGTCTAATCAACGTCGAAGACTCTTATGTTGCATTGTATACCACAGTCATAGCATTCATCATCATCTCCGGCGGCATCATTCCTGAAGGCAAGCTCGATCGCGCACTGCGGCGGATGAATGCCGACCAAACAACACCTCTCGGCACCAAAGACAAGACACTCGCTGCAATGGTGAAGGATGGGTATATTGTAAAGGTCAAGGACGTATCAGGTGGCACAGAGGAGACTATCGACTACATTGTCGGACCGAGAGGAAAGGTCGAGGTGGGCGGGGAGGGCGTTGCGCAGTTTATTCGGGCTGTATATGGCGAGAGCGAGGACCAGACGGAGCTGAACAAGCGCATTCAAAGGACGCTCGATGTGGCCGAGGCTCACAATAGTACAGGCGAGGCAGGGCAGGTCGGAGAGGCAGGGCCATCAGGGCGGAAACGAGGGCGTCGGAGAGAAGACGACGAGTGATGTATTGTACTGTACTGTTAGAACAAGGTCTCCTCTGGTGGTATGACTACCATAGGCGACCGAGTAGAGGTACGAAAGGTAACCCTGTATTGGATTGAACTTCACTAAGAGCTATTGTTCTATCTACTTGTTGTTATGATGATCTTAGGACGTACATGACAGATCATCATTCCGCGTCGGTCCTTCTGCTCGGGCTTACTCCACGAACCTCACCTCGCCGACCTGGACTGAACCTAACATATTCTTAACACTCCCCCTCAGGGCAGGTCCGGTCCAAGGACAACTCCTAATTGGTTCTTGAATCTCTCGAATGCGACTCGCTGCAATGGCTTTGTCATTCCATCAGCCACCATGTCTGCAGTTGGAACGTAGGCCACATCGAGTTTGCCTTGTTCTGCTAGGTCTCGGATAAAATGATAACAGACGTCGATGTGCTTTGATCTTTCGTGAAGGTGAGGGTTCTTTGTAAGTGCAATGGCACCCTGGTTGTCTCCTAGCATCTGGACCTTGTTGGTGTCTTTTCCAATGTACTTTGGGAACCCAAGATCTCTAAACATTTGAGCAATCCACTGGCCTTGCTTGCAGCATGTTGATAGTGCGATGTATTCAGATTCGCAGCTTGACGTTGCAACAGACCGTTGCTTCTTGCTAGACCATGATATTGGACCTCCGTAGAACATTGCAGTGCTCCCTGAAACGCTCTTTCGGTCTACCATGTCGCTTGCCCAGTCAGCATCAGAGTAGATGACAAATTGCGAGTGTACTCCCCCTGGTCCGTAGCGTAGCTTCAATGTCACTGTCGACCTTAGATATCGTAGCAGGTTCTTCAACGCATGGCCATGGTGTTCTGCTGGATCGCTCATGTATTGGCTTAGCTTTCCGAGGGTGAATGCAATGTCTGGACGTGTAAGAACCATAGCAAACATAAGGCTCCCTATCACTTGCTGGTATTCAGTGATGTCGATTCGGGTGTCGTTGTCAGTGGCTGGCCTAAATGAAGTGTAATCTGCAGATGGAATCTTCTTGTCTCTGTGTTGTTTGCTAGACATTCCAAACTTGTCAAGTACTGCGTGTAGGTACTGCTCTTGATCGAGGTAGATTGTGCGGCGCTTTCTGTCTCGCGTAACTCGTACTCCAAGGATCTTATGAATCTCCCCCAGGTTCTTGGTGTTGAATCTTCCAGAAAGCTTCTCGTAGAACCAATCAATTTGAGCTCGATCTTTTGCAGCAGCAGCAATGTCATCAACGTAGACGAGGATACGGAGTTGTTTTTCTTTGTGGATAAACATGCACGGGTCTGCGAGGCTTTGTACGAATCCCCATGCCAGAAGTTCTTTCTTTATCAACAAGTTCCAGTCGCGAGCAGCCTGTTTGAGTCCGTATAAGCTGCGGAGAACTCTAAGGACGTATCCTTTTTTGACTTCTACTCCTTGGGGTTGCTTAAGAAAGATCTCTTCCTTCAAGTGCGACTCTGTGAATGCATTCTTAATGTCAAAGTGGAAACATTCCAGGTTTTCCGCTGCGACAGTGGCCATAAACAGACGTAAGGTGTCCATGCGGACTGTCGGGGCAAAAGTCTCGTTGTAGTCTGTTCCGTGTGCTTGCGTAAAACCTCTTGCCACAAGGCGTGCCTTAAACCTCTCAACAGTCCCGTCGAGATTCGTTTTGACTGTAAAAACCCACTTTGAATCAACCATGTTCGCGTCTTTTGGCTTTGGAACTTCCTCCCAGGTTCGATTCTCTATTAACGCGATTATCTCTTCAAGTATTGCTGCTTTCCATTGCTTTCCATACTTTGGGTCGTTGATAGCTTGCTCGTGTGTCTGGGGGATCTGGATTCCTGCGATCTCGGTTGCTGCGAAAGCCTTCTCAGATAGTCGTGTTTGCTCTTCTGTAAGGCCAACTTGGGCTAGCATAGCTTTAACGATCTTGCTAAATCTCTCGTCCTCAACAATCTCTTCGTTAGACCTCTTCCGTTTGGCTTGTCTAGTGAAGTATCGTGGAATCTCCTTTTCTCGTACAGACTGGGTACACGGTTCTTCGGGCCCCTCTTCGTTCACAAGATTAGGAACCCGCTCATCAGATGGTGCAGTAGGAGGAATAGTAGTTAGCCTCCTTGGTCTTCCTCTGTGACGCTTCACTGGTTCATGAGTTAGCTCTGCCGAAGATGGTTCCATTAGGTTCTCGGAAACTGGTTCTATTGGTTCTGCAGGAGATGGTTCCATTGGTTCGGTAGGAGATGGTTCCATTGGTTCTGCAGGAGATGGTTCCATTCGTTCGGTAGGAGTTGGTTCCATTCGTTCGGCAGGAGATAATTCTAGATCCTTCCTAGGTCTTCCTCTTGGTTTTCGGTCTGGCATCGTATTCTGCGTTCCTTGTGGTCCAGCTGGTATGTTTCGCAGTCGTAGTTCAACTTTCCCTCCAGGGGTGTATTCGTCCACTGACAATCGGCTTGTCCTTGAGGTGTATCCAAGCTCTGGCGAATAGAACTTGAACTGCTTATTTGTTGTCTCAGAATATCCCATAAATACTCCAATTCTGCCACGGTCCACGAGCTTGTCATGTCGTTGGTCTGCTGGAATCGTTTTAGGGTTGATGTACGAATAGCATTTGCTCCCCCATACACGGATGTGGTCAATGGATGGTTTCGTTCCTGTGAATGCCTCTTCAGGACTGACTTGCTTTCCATTGATCATAGGTCCTGTGTTTGTACGGTTGCGTAGGTATGCGTCTGCTTCGACAGCTTCATCCCAAAACTCAATTGGTAAACCAGCGTCTTTCAACATTGCTCTCATATCAGCTTCAGCAGTTTGGATGTTTCGCTCGGCTGGTCCATTCTGGTGTGAGGAAGCAATTGTTGTAGGCTGAATTTCCACGCCTTGTGTAACTCTCCATTCCTCAGCTTGCTGTAGAAGTTCTGGTGCATTGTCGGTTCCAGCAGCTTTGACTTTCTCGCCAGTTTGATGTTCTACAAAGGTCTTCCAGATTCGGAGTTCCCGTTGTGCGTCTCCCTTTTTCTTCAGCGGGATAACCCAGTTTTTCCGCGTGTAGCTATCAATAATTTGGAGGAACCACCTGTTTCCTCGTAGAGATGTTGGAAAGGGTCCAGCAATGTCAAACTGTACTAAGGCTAGCTTCGTGGCCTTGTGCTCTCTTAGCTGCTTAGGGATGCTGTTCTTCATCTTTGTCAGGGAACACACTTCGCAGATTTCAATCTTCTCTGGAACTTGAATCTTCTTCTGGAGAGTTGTAACTTCGTGGAGTTTGGCAATCTTTGTAGGTCCTAGGTGTGCGAAACGTCTGTGATACAGCAGGTATCTCTCCTTTTCATTAACCTTAAGCTCGCTCTTAACTGGTGTATGGGGTTCCGTGCCTAGGAATGCTGTCTCGTGGTATCCATCGGCAATGTGTGACACTACGTAGAGGCCGTCGTCCATAGTTGCTTTAATAATGATCTCCTTTCCTAGTTTGAAGCATAGTACGTGTGAATTGAAACGACCCTTCAGGCCTGCTGCGCAAATTCTTCTCCCTGATAACAAATTGACTCCAAGGTTAGGTACAAGCAGTACTTCTGACAACCATGTCGACGATCCGTCTTTACACACCACTTGAGCTTCTCCTTTCCAGTCTGCATATAATTCTCCCCCTCCAACCCGAACTAGTCTTCGCTTGATCTTGATCATTCGTCTAAACAATGAGGGTTGGTCAGACATGTGGGAGGAGGCGCCAGTGTCGGCAGCCCAAGTAGATGGAGAGGCCTTACCGACAATGTCTTTTGAGAGACGGCATGTCTCAATTTCCTCGGGTTCAGAGTCTGAGGTCTTTAAGTGTGATTGCGTGTTAACCGCGTTGTACACGACTTCTTTTCTTTTCTGATTCCTTCTTGAATCTGAGTCCTTCGTGACTCGGGTAGGTGTTTGAAAACAATAACGTTGGGTTAGGCAACCGGGCTCATAACCTGTTAGAACAAGGTCTCCTCTGGTGGTATGACTACCATAGGCGACCGAGTAGAGGTACGAAAGGTAACCCTGTATTGGATTGAACTTCACTAAGAGCTATTGTTCTATCTACTTGTTGTTATGATGATCTTAGGACGTACATGACAGATCATCATTCCGCGTCGGTCCTTCTGCTCGGGCTTACTCCACGAACCTCACCTCGCCGACCTGGACTGAACCTAACATATTCTTAACATGTACTGTAGTTAAGCGCATTTGTCAGCGTCAACGTATCAGACGAGGTATCGAGTCGAGCAAGGCTACGCCGCTACGCCCGCCCTCGAGCGCTTGCGCGCCAAGCTGATTGAAACGGCTCCATTTTGCACACCAGCCGCCACCACGCGAACATTGTTTCGTTTCGGCCCTCACCTCAATTGCTCGTCGCGCCATGCCCTACCTGACGATAAGCACACAATGAGCAGCATCGACTCCCTCCTCAACCACGAGGCTGCCCCCGAGCGGCGCCCGTCGGTTACGCAGACCATGACGACGACAACTGAAGCTGCCGATGCCCTGACGACGCTGGCGACGCTGGGCAACGGCAAGCAATACGCCCCGAGAGAACTTCCCTCCCCCACGGCCTTTTCGACGGCTCCGCGACGCACCAGCAGCATCGGCTCTCTCCACGCGCCAGTCGAGCCCTCGCCGCCCGTCGAACCGCCCCAGGCCCACTCGCCGACGCTCGAGCATTACCACCATGGCTCTAATTCGCCCGAAGAGCAGAAGCGGCGGCAGTCCCAACTCTCGCGGACCTCGCCTGCGCCCGTCCTCGCTCCTATCCAAAATTTGTCCACGGCGCTGCAGGAGCAGATGCAGGACGAAGCTGCCATGGATGACGCGGAGCCTGCAGTGCGCGACACGCTGCCTTTTATCAAAAATGAGCCCTCGGCCACCCCGCGCGAAAGCACGCCGCCAGCCCAGGACCGACAACCCGAGCTTTCCGCCGACACCATAGACGTTGACAC